CACAAGCTGAAATGAAGGGTTTAAGTTCATTTCTTATGGATTGAGACATGCTATTTTTGAGCATGTTTATTCAACAGATAACTTTGTTACGGTACAGTATGTATTTAAATTATCCCTAAATATAGCTTCTAAAATTATGTAAATTGATGCTTTTTTGTTGAGACAGCACAACTTTAAATTCTGATTATTTCATGGTAGCCTAGAAGAATGAGACTTGCCCCAGAGCAAATGATCTCTGCTGTTCTCCCAGTATCAATTAAGTCAAGTTCACAACTGCATTTTATTTCTTATAGAAAAGCCCAACTTTATGCAGGTAAACTGCTGGACAATCAATACCTAAAATTTAACACCTGAAAGTCTATTTGGGTCATTTTTTTTCCAGCTCACTCACATGCTGCTAAGCAGTTGTGATGGCCCCTTCAGTTCTACCTCATGGATTGGGTCCATCTACAGAACAAGTGTTCAGCTGAGTTTGCAAAGGTCTGGTGTTTCAAAGTTCAGCAAAAGTGTGTGTCAGGGGAAACAAGCTGCCACTGTAACTACTTCTATCCTTTTTGTTGATTGCTTTCATTTTTGCTTTTGTTTTGTTGAGTTCTTATATGATTTAATAAAAGGTCAGGTCCACAGAGAGCTACCACAAAGGTTCTGTAGAGCAGGTGGACAATGAAACGCTGGAAATATTTAGACAACATAACACCACTAAACTTTTTGCTTTGGGTTTTTTTGCTTAAGAATAGTTCAATCTTTATAAAGCATCGATGTTTCCCATAGAGCAAATGTGGTTTTTACAGCCTTTTCTAACTGTTCAAGTTAAACACCATCCTATAATTCCCTCACTATAATAGGAGAACTGTTTTTTTCCAAGTAGCTGACCATCAGTAAACCCTAATACACTTACAGACCTAATATTTCATATCTATATGCAAACAAAAAGTACATCCAAATAAAATAAAATTTAATACAAATAAAATTTGTAAGACCATCTTTAATGAGGAGCTTATTTAAACTCTTTTTCTGCCCTAACTCTTAAGCTACCTCAAGCATAATTTCCTTTTTTTTTTACATTGTAAGCATTTAGAAAGGTGTGTAAAGATCAAGGATTTCACAGTGAGTCTCTGTGTATCCATTCCGTGATCTACATCCTCTTTCCTTTCACCCAGTTCTAAGTTACATTTGATTTATAAGCCCTTGACTCCAACTATTGGAATTAGTTAGTACAGCTGATGAATTCCTAGCATACGAAGACAGATTCTTTTTTTTACATTTTTTTTTAACTTTTTCTTTAAGCTTGCATTTCAACAGATTAGCACATTTTTTCCACTTCTAGATGCAGAATCCTCCTTAGAGAGAGAGAGAGAGAGAAAGGAACTTCAAAGAGGGACCATGCACCATCAGTCAGTTTCACAACATGAAACACTGAACTGCGCACTCCTGGGCTGATCCTGTCAATCCAATACTTTGAGGTCTATTTTATATAAATCTGTTTTCTGTGATAATTCCTAACAACTCTAAATAATGAGAAATAGAAATTTTCAGTTTCCAAGGAAGACACAAAGCATCTTATTCTAGTTTAAGTAAGCTCTATGATAAGAAATTTTAGAGCTGCTAACATTTTCTGATCTACTGCAGCCCCTCTTAGAGACTCTGGGAGAGCAAAAAAGTGCATTTTTTCAGTCCTAATATTAATTACGCAGATAAACAACATGGTTGTTACAACATGGTTATTAATACTGTGTATGAGAGACATAAAATGAAATCTTTGAGATCATGCCAAAAATCCTTTCAAAGTGTGTGCATCTCTTGCTACTGCATCTTCTTTTTCCTCTAACAAAGTACTTGAGCAAAAGTTCTCAACTGGTTCTCAACTGGGTGAAACTCTTGCCATTTCCTATCAGAAGATATATCACAGTCTTCAACTAAAACTATCAAGCTGGAAAAATCAGTGCTAGAAATAGTATATGCATCTCTACACAAGGTAGCCTGACAGAATCATCACCTAAAGTGAGCAATTTTTGATGAGCAGTGGGAAAGAAAGCAAGCTCTTTCAGGAGATATACTCCCATTTCATATTTCACTGTGACAACTCCTGGGGACTATTTTGTCTTTTTATTAGGTTTTTTTTGCAGCTGTTCACCCATACACTACAACAGACTCTCACTCCATTAGTTTTATTTAATAGTTTATACTTCATCTACCGTACCTCTCAAAGGAAGACAAATCAAATAAGTACACTGCTACTTTGGCATACCAGAAACTACAAAAAAAGAGGGCTTTGATCAGTTATAAGTAAAATAAAAGTGTTGACATCTCTGTAAAGTTAGTACTGAGTTTACAAGCTCTAAAGCACTTTCCACTCAACAGCATTCAGCCTTGGTTGATGATCAGCATCAACCACAATATTTCAGTGCTACAGCCACACAGAATTTAGCTCTGGTGGATCTAACACTGCTACAAGATGACTTTACAGACCAGGGCATTAATGCAGCACTCAATGGGATTTTAACTGTAATAAATTGATTTCTCAACTTGATGTTGATCTAGCAGCACTAATGACATCAATAGATACAGAGAGCATTTTCCTATAGGCATTCATAAAGTCAGCAAATGCCTCAGGAAGAACATGGATATCAGTAAGGCTGGTTGAAACTTGCCAACTCATTCAGAAAGTGGCTTTTCACACCCATCTCTCTCCTTATATTGTCATATCCCAATTAAGCCATTCCTAACATACAGATTCAAAGATAAGGCACTTTTTCCTGGGGTCTCAAAACTTCTGTTTTCCATTAACTGGCCATCCTGCAACTACAAATCAAATGCTGTGTGCCCACACCAAGTAGCTTACCTAGCTATCACATGCTGTATACTGCACTGCAAATGTGTTTCTACATGTACTTTTCAAGAGTTATTAAGGACTCCCAGAAGATCATTGTGTGAAGTATGAACTACAGCTTGTTAGAATATTTTTCAAGAGATGTTGGTTCATAAAGGCTAAGGTATGTCATGGATATGTACCAATTAATGGTATTTTTACCATAAAGGTCAAGAGGGACCCTGGCATTCAAAGTCTTTCCACATCTCATTTTAAAGATCTGACCATTAATGTTGCTATATAATTATGTTTCCCACATATATTTACAGTAAAAATAAATTGGGTTTTTTTCAGTAAACTTGAACTGTGACACTATCTTTGGCTATATCAAAAAATGCAGCTGGAACAATATGGCCTCTATTACCAAAAAGCCTTAGCATAATGACTTAGAACTGGAAAGACATCACTAAAAATTAAATATGACAGAGAACGAGAGAGGTCTAGAAGGCAGGATCTGTCTAAATTCAAGAAACCCTCCTAAATATTGGCTGAATTAGATTCATAAAATGACACATTTTTAATTAACTCCTAGAACATTGCACTGCTAATGAGTGTCAATTATTTTCTTTTAGAGTTGCATATACAAAACCAAAAGGCACATGCAGTGATCTCTTGGTTTGTGAAATTAAGAAGCTAAGTAACAGAATTTTAACTGTTCTACTTTAATTACTTTAATTTAGAATATTGTGTATGCGTGTTCTGATAAAAAATAGCATTTTAAACTAAATTTTACCACAATATGAATGCTAAGGACACCAGGTACTTCATCAGAATAACTCACACTTATTTAGCCCATCAATAAGGGAGTGATAAAGGTCCCTCCTTCATAATACACTGGTGGTTTGCTGTTCTGAGGTACAGAGTTCATTCTCCAGTGCATTGAAAAACAGGACAGCTGGTACCATTACTATTATTAAACCATTAAAGTGCCAGAACAAAATAGTTTCTGGAAAAAACCACAACATTATTTTCTCCAAGTTTATGAAAAGAATGGAAACAAATCTTTTTCCAATTAAAATTCAATAAATTCTAATTCATTGAAATAAAAAACTTACACATGTGCTTTCTTAAAAAAACAGGAGGAATGCAATGTGTAATATAATACATCTTAATCCCTATATCCTCATAACTAGAAACTATTTGGAACTCCCTCTAAGTTGTGACAGTAATGGAAAATTCTCAATTCAAATAAACAAAAAAAAGGCAGATAAGTTATTAACTGCCTCAGGTTTTTACAGAAAACATCCTCCAAGTATTCTTTGCTTTGTTCCAACTGTTCCTCAGTGTTCCACCCCAACACTCAAGATGACAACCACATGTATGAAGAGGCTGTCCTGGTGAAAGAAGGAACTCACATAGCTCCAATGCAAAAAGGGCTGTATCAGGCATAAGCAGGGACAAGGAGGAATTTAGAAAGACCACATGGGCATGCAGGGATTACGTCAGGTTACACAAAGTTCATTCAGTGGGAGTTACCATTTGCATGGAATGTCAAGGACAACAGGAACAGCTTCTACCACTCCAATAGTAATGGAAGTTTGAACAGGGATAAAAGGTCAAACAGGGAAAACATCTGACTTGGGCAGATCCGACCTAGTGGCAGCAAAAATGGATGATGCTGAGGGACTCAATACCTCCACTAAGATATCAAAGAAGGCATCTGCTGTTTAGCAAGAACTATCGTTAGGAGAGTAAATGTTTAATTCCCCTTACTCCACCTGAGCCACCAACAAGTGGAATAACACAAGGGTTGATCCTGGGACCCATCGTGTTTAACACCTTAACGAAGAAGGGGAGGCAATTGAACACAGTCCTTCATGTAATTAAGGGCACACATGTAGAATTGTGCACTTGGAAAAGAAGAACTCCATGCAACAGTACAGGCTGGGTTTAATCACAAAGGAAAATGGGTCACCCACCTTTAAGTGATACATTCAGCTACAAATGCTGAACAAAATTTGAAAGCTTAGTTGTGTTTAATTTGCATAGAATAGAGCCCAGATTTTTATGCAACAGCACTGAATGCACCTTTTTTCCCATGTCATTCTACATTGAAAGCAGAGGTTTCCATGAAGTGATTACACAATACTTAGCCTACTTCTGGAAAAGATTTTTGGCATTTACATCTTACCTTTGTATGCAATAATTGGGTGCTCAGCTCTGTGGCAGTGGGTATCTTCTGTTGTTGTTGACTCCAGTATTCCTAACACCCCAAGTCCTGCCAAGAGCAGTGTGAGGAAGCAGCTTCCTCTCATGGTGGTCATGCTGTCCTCCACAGCAGTCACTTCTTTTAACTGTCTACTCTTCTTGCACTCATGTGGGAAAAGCACCTGGAGAATTCAAATAGATTTATTTAAGAACAAGAGCAACCATAGGAAAAAATAGACAATTCTTGAAGTTTAAAACAAAACAACATTGCTTCCTTTTTGTGCAGCATCTGACTACTCAAAATTATACTGTCAGCTGCTCCTCTAATCACTTCACAAACCTATCATCAGTTACCCAATTTAGGAAAATTGATCACCCAGCAGGATTTAAAAAAATCAATGTTCATTACCCCCTCTCTTTTATTTTGTAACATGAGGGGAAAAGAATGTTCTTCAACATTTTTTATTTTATCCTCTTAAATAGAGCAAACATACTTAAATCTCTCTTCCCTTCACTTGGATCCACTGCTTCTTGCCTTGCTTTCCTCAGAGATAAAGGAGTGCTCTAACTTCTTACAAGCACAAGGTAGAAGAGGAATTGCTCCCTCATGTGAATGACTACTTTGAGAGAGCAACAGCCCTAGAGCATGTATTTTTTGCCCATCTGTAGAGTTTGCATGGAACAGCACAGAAAGGGGTAGGACAAGATTCACCTCAATGCTCTGACACACACTTCTGCTTTACAGCAGTGAGGGTCACTACTTCTGATACTGACTTAGTCCCCATCCATTTCCTGACTGATGACAAGGCTGCGAACTGCAGACTCAAATGATGAAGACCCCTTTCTAGGAAAATTTAGGTATCAATGAACAATGTAATGGTTTTCGTTCTGAATCAGAAAAAAGTTGAAGTTCAACTCCCTGATTTTTTGAAACATCCAATAACCACACCCTTACATAAGTAATGGAATATGTACAGTGTCATTATAATTTTAGATCCAACCCAGTTCCTTTCATTTCATCACTAAAAATGTGCCAAGCAGTTACAACCTAATCATACAACCCAAAAGAAACCTTCACCACTAGCAGCTTTAGTGAGTCACACAGGCTTGCGTGCTGATGACACGCAGAAATGAGACATCACTGCCTTTCATGAGGGAAGACCAGAGATTTAAGACAGCTCCATAAAAGCAGAAATGTCACTCTGCTAATTAATGGAGACATTCAGGAAAAGAAAATGAGCAATTTTGAGTTCTAGTATGCTTGATCTCATTGAATTGTAGTGTGCTGTTTAATAAGGTGGAAACTTTCTATTTGCGTAAAATAAACATCCTAAATGCATAAAACAAAGGGCTGTTAATGAAAAAACACTCCACAATAACAGCAGTGTGCTCTAAAAGCTACATTCAGAAAGCAGAATGGATTGTAAACACTGGTCCCTAACATTACTAGCACCAGACTTCATAAGACTAACTGCTCTTCTATTACCACCTTATTTTGCTGCCTTTAGAATCTTTCCTGCCTAGACATGGACACTTCTAATCCTCATTCATTTAAACTAAAATAAATAGATCAAAGGCATAATACATCTGAGCAGTAAATTTAATAGTCAATTTTAGCTTCTTTGCTAAACTTTCTTAAGTTACTGGAAAAAAAAGGAGGAGAAGCTATGAGGCAGTTAGATTCATATCCTTACCTTCCTAAGTAGTGTCTCATTATGTCATTTACCAATAAGAACCTGGCCCTACAAATTGTCTATGGCTTACAACAGGCAGTATCTGGTCATAGAAATTCTGGATACTAATGTATGTAGTGCATAAAGGACTTGGTCCAATGTTTTATAGTTCATTTTCTGTAAGATTGACATTTATATGCATGATGCACTATTCTTACACAAATTAAAGTAGTTTATGTGGGTTGTAGTGTTCCTATTCCTAACTTAAAGACAAATACACTACTAACAACTACTTCTAATTCAGATTTCTGTAAGATTATGTTTGTGCATTTAGGAAGCAAAATGAAGGCCTGATACCTTCATAAGGTCTCAAAAAAATGTTTTGCTTGCACATACCCCAAGACCTAGGAATACGGTAATTCCATGCTAAACAAAAAAAACCAAAAAAAACCAAAACAAAACAAAACAAAAAACAGAAACAAAAAAACCAACAAAACTTTATTTATTTTAATTTTGAAAGTCTCAAAATTAAAAGAAATAATATTAAAAAAATTTAAATAAATACTCATAAATGTGTGACTATAATGGAAAAGATAATGAAACAAGAATAAAATGAAACATTTGTACTGAAATCTCAGCCTTCTTTGTCTCTTTGGCTGTAAATGAAGCCCATGGTGTTTATGTAACCAGGCTTCCATATGCCAGCCAAGTTTCAAAAAAACCAACTCTACTCAGCAAACACAGCAAAAAGATAATCCTGTTTCTCCAGAAAGAAAGAAAATTACCAGCACCCTTCATCCAAATATTAAATATGCACATAGTTATGGGTGGCTTGGTCTCCATTACAAAAAGGATACTTAATTTCATGGGATTAATAGTGGTATTAGTAAAGACTAAGATGTAAATTATGTAAATGTCTGATATCTTGTACCCTGCAGGTATCAAGAGGACTTCTCCCACCTGTGCCCTGTGAGCAAAACTCAGTAGCAGTAACAAAGATTCCTTCACAACACCACCTCTCCTTGGCCTCTAAATCCAAACAGCATTCTCTTTCTCAACAGACTACTTACATGCCATAGGTGGTCTCTGACACAGTTGTTTGCATGTTATAGTAATCCTGTGGAAGAATTTTGGGGTCAAAGACTTTTTTCCTTACTAGCTGAACTCTTCCTCGCACTGCATGTATCTCACATGGCAAAAACGGAGACAGGGAACACTCTCTCATTTAGAATATGCAAAAACAAGGAAAAAGGAGGAGGAAGAAAGAAAGGTGTGAATACACTTCTGACCATACATCTCAGAAAAAAAGAGTAACAGCCTAAACTACTCTCTACCTCAACCTCTAGCTGTTTATGTGCATTGCATATTTTATTAATTTAAGTCCATGAATGATTTTTGATGAATTAATTTAAACACATTATTGTAGAGAACTGTGAGGAGAAGCTTACTGGCAACAACTCAGAGGAGAACCTTCAGAGGCCCTAACTGACAGAAGAACAGTAAATCAAGGCAGTAGATAGAAACCTTATCACAAGTTCTTTAAGTTTCTACTCATTTCACTACACTAGCGTATGCATGGACGGAGAAAGGAGTCTGGAGACTGCACCTAATACACTGCTAGAGTGAAAAATAAAAAATGGATTTTTTCAAGATCCACAAACAAAACAAGGAAAACCAACCAACCAAAACTCTTCCCCCAAGAACCAAAAAACCATACAACCCCAACCCTCACAAAAAATACAACTAAACCCCCTACAAAGAAACATACACCTTCAACATACACCCACAGCATGAAGCGATGAACAGACACCTTAGAAGAGACTTCAAAACTGAATCTTTTTCCAGAGAACTTGTACTGGCTGGATTGCTCCCTTCTGTACATCCTTGAGCCAGGACCACTGCACCAGCTCCATTGCTGCCCGAGACAACAGCTGCAAGAGTGAGCCTGTGGAAGCAGCTACACAGACCTGAGACACTGCAAAGAGTCAGAGGGCTCGAAGCAGACAAAGTAATCTTTCCTGAAATCACCCCTCTCCTTACTGAAAGTGCAGCTCTCATGCCAAGAAGGGATAGGTAGCCTGAAGCAATATGACAAGACAAGACAAAGCCAAGAGAATAAACATGAAAAGATTCAACCAGTTTCCTTGCTTTCTGTATAATTTACATATGTAAGTCTCTCTCAACAATGACAATAATGGTCAGGTCAAAACTCTTCAAAACATATATCCAAATAGTGACAGTGACCAGCTTTTTAACTATTGCCGAATATTTGCACATTGACCTGTCATTTGCATAACTTTTCTATCAGAGACCTTTATTCAGACTTTCAAGAAATTGCATTTCACAAGTTTTTAAAGCAATCTGAAGATGTAAAATGAAAAAGAAAGCAGAATAAGCAGTGCTATAAAATGCAATTTATTTCAATATATTATTTTATCCCTGTATGTAAAGAGCCTAGTGCACTTACTCTATCCCTCATTCCCTTTCTTTTGATCCAGCTTGCCTAGAAGAAATATAAAGATGAATGAGGCTTATTAGGCAAAGGTATTTTATTTTACAAATGTAGCCTTTGGTTTCTCCAACAACAGGAATTGATGAAGAAAAAAAACCCAGCAATTCAAGATTTTCTGTTTCAGCTGAATCAAAAAAAGAGAAAAAGTGTGCACAGCTAAGCATGCAAGGCAGGTAACTGCTACTGCTAGGTCCAAGCAGATTCATTTAAAGACTATTCCCTCCAGGCACTGAAGTCATATGTATAAAGTCAAATAATCAGGATGTCAATATTTCTAGATCACTTAAAGCACACCGTGTTGAAAGTACAATTTACCTCTGAATTATAAACTACATTTTCCTTTGTTCAATCAAAAGAAGCCACTGTATGCAAAAGCTGCCACACTAGCTGCAGCTGTTCCAAAGCAAAGATGCTTTCAAATAATTATCTTTGCTGATTCTATAAGTGACAGATTTAAACTACATTTTTAGTAAAAGATGAAGTGAGCCTATGCCAATGTAAGTGTACAAACAGCAGGGTTTGGCATGTTTAAAAGGTGCCAATTTCAGAACTAGTTCTGGGTACAGGCATTCACAAGCAGGACTGGGGTTTCTTTACATGCACACCATTGTTTACTCTTGCAGATGCTGCTCATGTAATTTGTTGCAGGAGACTCATTCCACTTTCCCTGGGCACTTCGCTCCACATCTTTGCAAAACAGTAAAGATTTGGAAAAAAAATTGCTCATGTGAAGTAACTACTCCGGGTGACCTTTTTGCACTAACACAAGCCTGGGGGAAAAAAAAGTATTTAACTAATGAAACAAACTGCACATTCTGTGGGTTCATTAGAACAGAATTATGAGTACAAAGAAAGATGTTGCTCCATATTGCTACTGCATACACTCTAAAATAGTAGTAATTATTTCATCTTTGGTCATGAAAATTCTATGAAAAATACCCAGTTTGTCTACTGTATGGCTAGTGGTACCTTTTTTACAATTTATTAAAAGAAGAGA